ACAATGAAGACCGACTCAACGACACTAAGACTAAGGTCTTCGTTCTTGGTCTTCTTTTAGCTCTTGTTCTTGTCTTCCTTCTTCGCCTTTTATATTCAAAGTTTGACTTGATCACGGCGGTTTGGCATTATCAAAACCTGTCATAAAAACAAACACGGCTTTAGTACGAAAACGTGACATGCCCGTGTTTCAACAATTTGTTAATGACCTAACAATTACCATTTGTTAATACCGTGTAATGTTAATTGCCATTTGTTAATACCATGTAACATTAATTGACATTTGTTAATGTAATAAAAATTACCATTTGTTAATACCGTGCAATATTAATTCCATTTGTTAAAATGTCCTTTTTTGCAAATCTGGATTTAAAATTTTTTAACTTTATTTTTTAATTATTTCCAATTATATTAATCACGTTTAGTATTTTAACTTAACAAAAAAAGAAATAGCGTGTAATATTAATTGCCAAAAAAGAAATACCGTGTAATATCAGAACTTATCATTTCCTTTTTAATTATTTCCATATTATATTAATCACGTTTATTATTACTATTATTATTACTATTATTATTATTATTTCTTAAAATTTGCTATTTTGCGAATTTGAACTTATAATTGTATAACTTTCTTTTTAAATTATTTCCAATTATATTAATCACGTTTAGTATTATAACTTACCAAGAAAAATAAATACCATGTAATATTATTTGCCAAAAAAAAGAAATACCGTGTAATATTAACTGCCTTATTATTTATTATGGTTAGTACGGGTGTAATATTAATTGCCATAATTAGGTTGGCGGAGGCCATTTTAATGTAAATATTTAATATTTAATTTAATTATTTAATGTAATTGAGTCATTACCATTTTAAGTTAACAATTGTCATTTTTAATGCACTAACGCATGGGCGGGAAAAACATTTCTTGAATCCATGTCTTTTTAAATAAAGTATGGATATGGATATGACAACTACATCGTAAAAATATTTATGGTTGGAATTCTTATACTATTAATCATCTACTACCTCCGTCCCACAAAAAGTTCCCATTTTGACCATAAATTGGTCAAACTGATGCACACTTTGACCCTAAATTAAATATAATCTAAATAAAGAAATGCTAAAAAAAGTTGAGATATCAAAACTAGATCCTAAGATGAATCCAATTATATAAAATTTATTCCATAATTTAATATATTTTTCTCACAATTTATAGTCAAAGCGTGTAAATATTTGACTAAATACTATTCAAAATGGGAAGTTTTTTGTGAGACGGAGGGAGTATTTTAAATTATACTCCATCCGTCCTACTTGAATCTTTCTGTACAGTATTCGTAGAGTCAAACTTTATATACGTTATTTCCTTATTTTCATTCCAATTTATAAAATAATATAGTCATGTCACTTTTAGTTTTGTAGATATTTTGATATAGTTTTCAAAAAAATTTATTTTTTTATTTTATACCTACAATCAAATAAAATTAAATTGAAAATAAAATCGGTCAAGCATCGTAACGCGGATCAGGAAGATTTAAATGAGACAGAGGGAGTTGCATCTAATTTTTTGGAGATGCTCCACAAGAGATTTCTAGACCACTCACTGTGATGTGTTTTTTGTTGCGCGTGATTTTTTTTTTTTACACTCAACAATATGTTTTTGAGCTTTTTCATACATTTCCATGCTAACTTTTTTTTACTACTCTATGCAGGTAAAATTTCCACACCGCTTTATGGAGAGAGACAGAGAAACATGGATGAGTTGGAGCTAGGAAAAAAAGCTCACCTTTTGGAAGCATGAAAAACAAAAAAAAAATCACCCAAAAATTATGATGCAGTAGAGGGAGCAAATATAGAGAGAGAAGGGCAAGAACTTTTCACCACTACGAGTGCTCTTAACATTTGTTCCCAAAAGAAACTCATAACGAGAACGAGTCAAACCATTCATTTGTGAACCGAACGTGTCCCAGTGGGTACGGTTGTAAATCAACTGAATCGAAGTGAATGTCGAGATATTTGAATTTGTATTTGTTTAATTTTTTCGAATAAGAATCCGAATCCAAAACGAATTAAAAATAAGATTTGCATTTGTATTTGACTAATATTCGAATACTTAACGAATATTTGAATAGTCATCCTTCGTAGTTTATATGATGGACCAACATTGATTTTGAATAATTTAACTTGTAATATTTCTTATACTATATCTGAAAATATCAATAGATTTGCGTCATACCATACTCAAATTATATATTATAAAACATAATTATTAAAATCATATGCTTTATATTTTTGAGTTACGTTAATTTGACGAAATCTCAATAATTGAAATGTATTTACACTATATGAGTTTGTTTGACTATTGATTTTGAAACATGGTCTTTGCGTCATCTGACCGAAGCATGTCATCGCACCATAAGGTGTGATTTCACTGGAGTCAATCCCATACACACACACACACACACCCATGAGAATGCACCTTGTGGAGAAAAATGAGAATAAAATCTAGTCGTTGGATCTGATGCATCGTGTGACTCAAATTGCATTCTGCGTTCAGATTTTGAGATAGTGCATTTCGGCATGATGCATTTTCAAACCATTTTGGTGTACCTAATTTTGATGCAATCTTGACCCTTAGATCTCACTATCTAAAGTACCAGACTCATTCTCATTTCTCTCCTAAGATTGCATTTTCATTAGAATCAATATATATATATATATATATATATATATATATATATATATATATATATATATATATTCAAATATCAATTAAATCGAATATATTTCAATTCATATTTGTTTAATATTCAAATCAAAACTAGTATTTAAATTTGAGTTTGTATTTGAATCATTAAATTTGAACATGGAACACGGATCAAATTTAAAGTATTTGATTTGGGAAAAATTATCTCAAATAATCCCACGTTTTCGTGCTCTTTCAAAAATAATCCCACTTTTCACTGTCACCGGAAATAATCCTACCTTTTCGCATGTGTGTGAGTTTTGGGTCATCGTTAAAAAACTAACAGCCACTTAACGGAAGTTTTTGAAAATGCCTGTTTTTTGCAAATAAATGAAAGGTGGGATTATTTTAGAAAAATTTACTTTTTACTTTTTTTAGTTTTGAATTTAAAATTAATATTTTTAAAAATATAACAATACACTCTTGTTAGATATTTGTCTAACGATTAACAAATTTTGTTAATTGTTTTGGGAAAATATAGTATTGAATTATCAAAAATAATTTAGAGTATCGATCAAGAAAGAAATTACAATAAAAAAATTGTAGTGATTTATAAAATTTATGGGTTCCGTTCCGGAGAAAAAAATATTGTGTCATTTTCACAACTTTTGAATTACTATTTTGGGGAAAAATTTGTATTGAATTATTAAAAAAATCACAAATTGGGTAGTTCCATTTTAGAAAGAAAATTTTATTGCAATATAAGATTATCAATAAATATTTCAGAGTGTTCACGGAAAAATTGCAATACATCAGAAAATGTAGTGAGTTATAAAAATAAAAGTTCTATTTTAGAGAAAAAAGTTGTTGTGTTATTTTCACAACTATTGTAATTTTGTTTTACAAAAAATATTTATATAGAACTATAGAAAAGTATTCATAAGTTTTGTAGTGCCATTTTTTAAAGAAATAATAATAATGTAGTATCAAAAAATAATTTGAAGTGCAACTCAAGAAAAATACAGTAAATGCAACTTACAAAAAAATGTACTCCATCCGTTATCAAAAACACTTCCTCTTTTATTTTTTTTCTCTTCCAACAAAACACTTCCACTTTCTATTAAAAACCACTTTTACCCTTACTTTTTCATACCCTGCCTATCACATCATACTTTATCTCTAATAATCTATCCATCACATCTTACTTTTACCTATCATATCAAGGGCAAAATTGGAAGTCAACTACAATTTAATACTTCCTTATTTTTACACAAAGTCAAAAGAGGAACACTTTTTCCAAACGGAGACAGTAGTTAGTTATGAAGTTAATAAATTAGCTCTATTGTGTAGAATAATTTATTTTCTAATTATTACCATATTATTGGTTATTGAAAAAAACAATTAGTTTCACTCTAAAAACACTTATATTTGGTATTTTTTCCAAAAAAATAAAATAAAAATACATTTAAAGAAATTAAAAAACGAAAAAGGGAGAATTTACCTAAAATAATCCCACCTTTCATTTATTTGCGAAAAACGGGCATTTTTCAAAATTTTCGTTAAGTGACCGTTAGTTTTTTAACGGCGACCCAAAACTCGCACGTATGCGGGAAGATGGTATTATTTATGGTGAGAGTGAAAAGTATGATTATTTTTGAAAGAAGTGGGATTATTTCGTTTGATTTGTTTGGGCTCTATACAATAATGCGCGGGAAATAGACTGTCTGAAGTCGTTCACGAGAAAAAAGGGGGGGTGTTTTCCCACCAGTTCACTGACTCATTTTGCTCCTCACCGCCAAGAGATGAACGGAACCGGAGGCGACATCCGGCTGGATGAACGGAGGGGAGACACGGAAATTTCGAATTCACAGAAGCTCATTCTGAACGCCGAAGACCTACTTGAATCCAATCTAGGATGCGATCTCTTCACTGAAGGTGGTGACAAGCGCTTCGGATGGCTCCTCACTTTTGCCTCAGTATGTCTCGTATTTCCCAAAGTTAGCTCTCAAACTTAACCTAATCGCTCGAGCTTTGCTGAGATATTTGTTTGTTTGTTCATTGAAATTTATTTGTAGTCGTCTTGGGAGGATCAGGATACTCATAAAGTGTTCAGTTGTGTAGATTTATACTTCGTTTGTCAGGTAATGGGAGAAACATGAAATCAACAAGCAATTTCATTATGTGATGGTGATATATTGAATTTCCAATTTAACGTTCCTCTCTGAGAATTTTCATATGCTCGAAGGATGGTTCGACATTTAAAGCCAAGCACAAATTTCGGCCATATTTTTATGTTGCCACAAAGGTCAGTAGTTCACTAATTACAGTTACTAGATACAGACTATATTTATTGAAAAATAGCTAAACTAATAGTTGACATGTGCCAATGTTGCTAACTTAGGGGGCATTTTTCATTAAATTTAGAAAAAAGAATGTTTTGAACAGCTGTTTAGTATTTACAAAAAATCATTTAAGAGAAGCTACCATTTCTAGCTTCTGCAAATGTATTATAGTAGGTATTATTCTGTAAAATACTACAAAAATATCAGTACAGATTATTATCACTTATGAGAGTAGCTTATTCTAACTGTATACACCTCTTCATATTTTGAGTGATGTATCACTGTAAAAAGTCTCATTTCGAAGATTTGACTAATCTGCTGGAATAATTTCATTAGAATCATTTTATATGGTTCGATAAAAACTTTTTCATTTGACAAGAAAATCCTCTTCCAGAATTTCTGAAACACACATTTGTATAAATTATTTTCTATCATAATAAGTTTACCATTTAAAATTTTGGTCAATTTACAAAATGAAGTTTGACAAACATTCCACCATGGTTTTTTATTTCATACAGCAGAAAGTCAGGAACCTCTTCTAAAATGATAGATTTCTCCCACAACACAAAATTCCAATTTTAATCTAAAAAACAACTATAATCGGAATCAAAGGGGAACACCATAAACTTTGGTTTGTTGTGAAGAATTTACCTTATAGTTTATTGTCCTATTTTAGAACAAATTGGAAATGGAAGTTGATGCATACTTGAGACGGCAGTATGAGGCTCAAATTGCTGATATTGAAATTACAGAGAAAGAGGATCTTGATCTCGTAAGCCTCTGGATTTCAATTCTCATTGTCGAGTTACATGAGATACATCCTTTAAATGTAACCATATTATGTTCCATCTTCCACATATACTGTATCCTAATACATTCTCTCCTTATGCTAGAAAAACCATCTGTCTGGCTTACAAAAGTCTTACTTGAAGATAACTTTTGATACTGTCCAACAAATGATGCATGTGAAAAGGGACCTGATGCACACAATAGAAGGGAATCGAACAAAGTTTGATGCTATGGAAGCAAATGAGTCCATTTTAACACGAAAAAGGTAGCAATTTTTTTATAACTATTCCATTGTCCATACACAAATATGATTATAAAGTCCATACACAGTCACACATATTCTTCGGTTGAGTAATCTTCAATTTCAGTGACTTGTGATAGATACTGATTTTGAAAAGAAAGCAAAGAGAACCACACAAAAATCTCTTAAGCCAGCATCTCACTTATCGAAATTATAATATCCCAGATACAAATATAGTTCTTATTCCCTTCCCCAGACTTTATGCTACTGGCCAATGAGCATATGTATAGAGCTGAAATACAGATAATACACATAGGAACATATCCCCAACTAAAATCATGTTGCAACTGTAATAAAGTGGGTGGCTAAGCTTAGCTACTATTCCTACTAACTTCCTTACTTAATAGCGTTAATTTAATTTAAATAAATAAATAAGCAACTAATATTTCATAACTTCCAACTCTCTTAAAATATGCAATGTATATCTAACTTCCTCCTCTTCCCTTATTTTTCTTGAGATGGGTTAGTGCCTTAGTGGGTAGTTCTGGATAAATCAAGACTCCCCTCCTGGAAACACAACTTGTTAACACATCAGTAGATTCAGATTCATTCCTTGTAGAGTTTTGAAGAGTCCAGTGGTTCCATTCTTCCATTAGTTAACAGATTTTTAAGAAATAGACATTCTAGCTGAATTGACAGGTTGGCTCTGTAGTAATTCCTCGCAGCATCTATGTCTTGACATTTTCTCTGAAAATCATTAACATCTCATTTCAATTGGTTTGGCAGTGTTTAGTGAAGACTACCATTTAATGCCATGTAAAATATCTATTCATCTTAATGTGAAAGGAAAATTATCTTGTTTATATACTAAGTTTGACGTTTTCACCTCTATGTTTGAATCACAATATCTTGTACTCCGTATGAGTTAAGGCTTATTTGTATCCGTGTAACCATTTATGACCAGTCGCCTAATTGTCACCAAAGAGCCGCCTAGTCAACTAAGTGTTGTGGCGGTTTGCTGGCGCTGTGCCTCCTTGGGGCTGTGATAATTATGCCAATTACTTGTGTAGGAGTCACACCGATTTGTGATTTAAGGGGTTGTAGGCTTGGGCTTTTATGAGAACAACTTTTCAAATTCAAAGGCCAAGCTAGCAGCTCTATACATTGTCTTAGGCCATCTCCAATCCATTAACTAAACTCAAACTCAAAATGTAGTGCTAACCCAAAATACAGTAATTCAACTCCAACAATTTATGCCAAACTAAAACTTAAAAGAATTTTTTCACACTATTTTTTTCTAATTACTTCTTTTACTTAGCAAATTTAAATAATCATCCTAAGAATACTCATTCCTAAAAAAATTATACTCCGTCAGTTCAAGAAATTAAACATACTCCCGTACTCAGCTACAAACAAATGACCTGGAGATGGGAAAAAACCAATTGATTAAATGCCTCTACGAAAAATATGGCCTGGAGATGAAAAAAAATGAATTGGTGATGATGATGATGATGACGATGATGATGCACTCACAGATCTAGTGCACCAAATTCAACTCATCCGTGTTCAATAGCATTTCAGGGATGGAGTTCAATTGAATGCAGTACTCTATAGTTCAAACACATATGTGAGTTTGAGAGGAGGAGAGAGAAGGTTAAAACTCAAATTGGGTTTGGGGATGAGGGACAATTGGAGAGAGGAGCCTGCAAATCTTATGAAATGAAGTACCATTGGAGATGCCCTTAGGCTTTTGAATTCGCACATCTGACCTCAGCTCCTCCTTGAGGTCATTTAAGAAGACAGTAGACACCAACAAAGCAATGTTCTGGCTAATGTTCAATTCAGGCAGCTTGCATTGCGACTTCCTGCCAATATTATTCAATTGACCCCCGATTGCGTAATTCATCTACATTTTGATATTCAGGTGGATTGTAATTTTCATGCAATATTTTCACCAATTCAAAATTTAGGATTCAGTAGGGTCACTCAACTAGGCTATGGCTACAAGACACTTGGATCAAATTATACTAAAAAATTGAAGCCAATCGATTAGCTAGTTCAACTCAAAATCTTATCAATCCATCATTTTTCTCATAAGTTATCGATGTGGGATTCTAACACTCCTCTTCACTGTATTGAAGTTGTTTAGGCAAGCTGAAAGCTAGCTTCAGGTGTACGTTGTGACAAGAATATATGGACAAACATTAAAGAGAAATTTATTCAATAATGGTGAGACTGACTATGTTATACAAAGTAGAGTGCTAGGTGGTGAAAAAAAACTTACGTTCATCAGCTTCAAGTGGCAAAGATGAGGATGATGAGATGGGTGTGTGGTCATACGAGGATAAATAAATTCCAAAACGAGATTATTCGAGGAAGGGTGTGAGTGACACCTAGGAGTGGGCAGAGGTCGGGTGACACGTTGGTCAGGCTGACTTTTGCAGAACTCTATCCCGGCTTGTTTTTTAAAATGAACAATCTAGGGAGTGCAGGTTAAAAACTATAATTGGAGCTGGCCCTAGCCCGTCTGGTTTGAAATAGTTTGGTTCCACGAGTCCATGAACTTTTTCCATTAAATCATGCTTTTGAGAACTTCACGAACAAGTGAACAACTCATATAAAAACAGAATTATTAGGATTGTGAAACCAATCCATAATTTGAATAATTAGAATAATAGTTTTGAAAAAAACAATAATATCCAATCAACAAAAGATCTTCACCAATTAATATGCAAAGCAAACACGAAAAAGTGGTGGTTGACTATTATCTATTTATTAACTATTTATTATATATATATATATATATATATATATATATATATATAATGTTGATTATTTTATATATAGTCCATTTATCAATATAATTGATGAAATTAATACTTGTATCAAATAAAAAATTAAGAATACAATATTAGATATGCTTCAATCTATTTCTTATATTTATAATTTTATTACTTCGTAAATGCTAAGAAACAGGTCGGTCAGGGTCCATTTATTTTTAACTTTGTGGAACCGACCCGACTCGCTTTGTATTAGGAACAACCCACCCCGTTTTCAAAGTTAAATTTTTGGACCCGCCTCTGACTCTCCCTTAACCATGTGGTTCGATCCTGACCCGCAAATAAAAGACCCGTTTGCCCATCCCTAGTGGAGGTCTGGAGGATAAGGTGTGTGAAGATAGACTGAGGTGGTTTGGGCACGTAAGGAAGAAAAGTGCAGAGGGCCTGGTAAGGAGATGGGTGAGGCTTATGGAAGTAGGTGTGAGAAAGAGTAAAGGTAGATTAGAAAGAGTTGGGAAGAGGTGATCACACTAGACTTACAACATCAAAATTTTACCAAGGATATGACCTTAGGTAGGAACACATAAAGGTCTAGTTTTAGAGTAGTTGGGTAGACATTTGGGCCTTAGTTTGGACTTTGGCATGTCTAATTTTACCTTGTCCGTAGCTTGTGTATGTGTGCTTTCTATGCTTGGGTCTTAGTTGCTAGTGTTGGTATGAGTACTTCTTTTGCCTGTGCTCTTACTTTGTTCGTGAGACTAAATTTTGTTTGTTTGTGCTTCTGTGTTTGAGCTGGGGTCTCTTGGAGACCGTCTCTCTAGTACCAAGTAGAGGTAAATCTGACTCTTTTCTGACTCTATTTTTGTGTTATTTTACTGGTTTTTTGTTGTGTTGTTGGTGTGTGTGTGTGTGTGTACCATAAACTCCAACTTTCTTTAAATCTGCAATGCATCTCCAGCTTCCCTCTTTTCCCTTCTTTTTCTCTAGATGGGTTAATGGGTAGTTATGGTTGACTGAAGTACATCTGCGCATGATAGTTTCTTGTAATGTTATTTGCTTGATAGTGCTAATTTGTAACTTAAAAATAATAACTTTGAATCTTGAAATGACATTCATTTCATCTGGTAGCTTTTTTAAACTTAGATCTCATCATCCAATATTCCTCGAATGCAGTAAACATGGATTTCAAGATTACATTGACTGTATAGCTGATTTCCGCGAGCATGATGTACCTTATCATGTTCGATTTTCCATTGACAATGGTATTTTTTGGTCTTGAACTACAATGCTGCTGCACTCACATTTATCAATCCTTCCATACTTCACAATTTCGTTCTTCTTTTAGCGGTAAACTTAGTTTGCTTATCAGATGTCAGATGTGGGCAGTGGTATGAAGTTAGTGTACACAGTTCTGGGGTCGTGCTAGAAAGGAGAAGGGATCTCTTGCAACATGCTGAAGTTCATGTCTGTGCATTTGATACTGAAATGACCAAGGCTCCTTTGAAAGGCCCCAATGCCGACTGTGACTCAATAATGATGATCTCGTACATGGTTGATGGTCAAGGCTATCTTATTATTAACAGAGAGGTGCTTATTGTTGTGCTAAATTTATTTAGTACTTTTGTCTAACATGTAGGTCAACATTGTATGAAATTATTTTTCTTTACCACCCTTTTTACATAAACCTTGATGCATCTAAAAAATTCAAAAAATACCCTCAAAAATTTTATACAACATTGTAGCTCTAGACTAGTTTAATGCTCATTTATTGCAATAATCCCTGTTACTCGGGAACACTTGCTGCAATGAGATCAAGAATGCACATCCTTTCATATTCCATTCAGAAAAGATGTATCTATTCGATGCGGAATTGTTTTTTTAATTAAATAGTACAACTCTAGAGAAATTCACCTAGTATATGTTTATATTGATGCCGAAGTATGATTGGTCCATAAGAGTAAAGGGTACTCTGGCTTAGTATATCGTGCTTGGTACATTATGGTGATACACTATTGATCTTAAATGCTTTCTTGGTCAGGGTTGCTTTACATAATGCACCTACTTTACAGGAAATGTGTACCTCCATGCAATTGTTATTATATACTCCCTCTGTCCCACAAAAAACACCTTCTACGTTCCCTTTTTTGATGTCCCAAAAAAACTTCCTCCTCTATATCTTTTTTAAAATTGCAAACATGTGGCTCAAAAAATTTCTCACTGAGCTAATTAAATTCCAACCACATACTTCTCACTTTTCAACACATTTACGTGAAAGTCACACTAGGAAAGATTTTTTTGGGATGGAGGTGGTAATAGATTTTGGTTTTGTATTTCTCAGTGTTCTTTCCTGTACTTTTTTTTACTTAATATACTCCACTGGCTGCTGATATCATTATTATTTTGTGTTTAATGAATGGATCATTTTGACAAAGAGTTTACGAATTGCATTAGCAATATAAATTGATGATTTGCGATTTTGCATTGCTCAGGTAAGTGTAACTCACAGTTGTAGTCCTTTTTCCCCTTGGTTTGCAGTATGTTGGGGAAGACATAGAAGATCTAGAATATTCCCCTAAACCTGAATATAAAGGGTGCTTTAAAGTTACAAATGTGAAAAATGAGGTAAAATAACTGAGTGGCTTTGTAATGTATATGGACAATGTAATCAAACTTCTTTATAAACAACACAATTGTGATAATGTTGCAGGAAGAGCTTCTTAGAACTTGGTTCAGCCATATGCAAGTTATAAAGCCTAGTATATATGTCACTTACAGTGGTGACTCCAATGATTGGCCATTTATGGAAACAAGGGCAGCTCATCATGGCTTTAATATGAAAAATGTATGTGTTCATTAATGGTCCTTTTTCTTGGTTATACATGTACCCACGTTTGTTCTTAAAATTTTTAAACTTTTTATCCCACTATCAAAGTATGTATTTAGCAAAGTGAAGAAAATCAAATATAAAACTTGGCAATAACTTTTGATGGAATAATATTCCCCCAGGTCCAAGTAAATCGGGCTTGGTCCACGAGCGAGCCCAAGAATCAAACCTTAACCATAGTGTTCTCCCATTCACTTATAAAAGGGCACCACTTCCAAGAAAAAGGGATCTAGTCTAGGCCACAAGATTCATCTTCTCCTCTAGGGATTATTACAAGGATTCTGAAAAGAAATTTCAGACGACAATTCAGGCCCTTCTAGATGGTTTGGGAGGCTTAGCTCATCTATCAGCTCCTCCAGGAAGCCGTCTGTCAAGGCTGCATAAATGCTGCTTTGCATGGACCATTGGCTGTGATCATGCATCATACCCGCACCATCTTTGAGCTCCTTTTTGGCGCGGAGCAATTCAGCATCTTGTTGTGCAGAGAGTCAAAGGTTTTCCTCATAATGAACCTTCATCACCTGTAACTTCTCTTTGGCATATGTTTTTTCTTTTTCGAGCTCCTCTTTGGCCTAGGCTTCTCGTTCCTCAGCGTGTCCACAGTCTGTGCCACGGATTCCACCGCCTTCTTCTTGGCTTGAACGACTATCTCTTCTGCAACTACTAGAGTGTATGGGCAGTCGCCTAATCACCCTTCAACTGATTGTTCCGTTCGTAGAGATGGGGGGATGTGGTCGCTCTTCGCGGGTTAAGTGACTTGAAGCTCATTCATCTTGCGATGAAGGGTCTACATCTCTTGAAGTTTCTTGCGGTTGTCCAAAGCGGGCTGAACCTTCATCGCGGTCTGGGCCAAAAACTCTACAGCAAGGATATGGAGAACCAACCCAGCTTGGAGACAGAGACGGGGTTAGGGGATTGAAAGATAAAATGTTTGGGTAAAAAAGTGAAAGATAGATTATTACTTTCTTTTGCAGCTGCAGAGCATTCAGGGCAAAGGTAATTTGACTCTCTTCCAAAGACATCTCATCATATACCCCCGCATGCCTTGAGAATAGCATTGCAGGACTCATGGTCTCGGTGCTTAGAGAACACCAGGTGTTTGTGTGCCCCCAACATGTTATCCAAGAAGGCATTGAAAGACTTCTTGGAAAAATGGCACCCTTAAACGATTAATGGCCATTTTCCTAGGAAAACAAATGAATCACTTGATCTTTTTTCGGGATATATTTGTTCAATCAAGTATGCTACACTCGGTTTCACCATTATGAAACATGACAAGAATCTTTATGGATCATTTAAACACAAACACATCATCAAGATTAGGAAACCAACAGATACTCATTGGCGATCCGGTTGCACTACAACAATGCATTATCCCAAGTAACTTGAGTCTGCCAAATGAACTAAGAGGTGAATCACGTTTGGTCATTCACAAAAAATGTTCTCTCGCCATTTCTTTCTATCCATAACCACACTCTTGTTTAAATTCAATTAAGACAAGTTGCTCCTAATCATGTCCTCCCATAGATCTCCCTTTTCCTCTTTTGCAAAATTCATTTCTGCTTCCTCAACTCTTCTAACCGGTGCATCAATAGGCCTTCTTTGTATGTGTTCATACCAAGAGAGTCGATCTTTTCTTAATTTATCTTCAATAGATGTCACTTCTACCTTTTTTGGATGATCTCATTTCTTACTCTCCATTCTAGTGTGCCCACACATCTAGTATGCATTTCATGTACCTTCGTTCTCATAATATGACACCCTTTTGCAGCCCAATCCTCTGTACCCCATAACAGTTAGACTCTTATGACTCTTTACCCTTAAGCACTTTCCCTTTATTTCCAACTTTCAAAGGTATAAGACGGCCACAAAGAACTCTAGTTGCACTCCTCCACTTCAACCAACCCTCCTTTACTCGGTGTTTAACATCTCCATTCTCCATCTTCTTGTATAGTAGAACCCAAATGTCTAAAATGTCACTGATTGGGATAACCCGATTGCACAAGAAAGGGCAAGTTACGTAGTAGGACCCAACCAAAGATCTAAATAGAAAATATTCACCTTCAAATTGTTTTATTCAAATAAAGGCACATTAGTAGCAATATATATGGCTACCTCACAACTAATAAGTAGTAGCCTCCACTGCCTCAGAAATTGCCTATGTCGTCACATTGCTATTGCAAAACCAACACCAACATCTCAATCCCACTGGCACTCATTACCTCTAATATTTTGTCCTTGGTTGTCTAATTTCATCTTTAATGGATGTTTATTTACAATCAGTTATCAATAACTTCTATGTAATTTCCACCCAAAAATGCATATTTGCTGATGGATATATATATATATGTGTGTGTGTGTGTGTATATATATATCATGTAATCTTTTGACTACAAGTTGGTTCGCCTTGGTTAGTTATGGTTCTACCTTAAATGTTTTCATGAGTCATTCTATCTCATACTTTAGCTTCTTGGACTGAGTCAAGGTTGATGGAATACCAGTATATTGATAATATTTGTCTGGCCACTTTGTTCTTTTCTGATTTTTGGAGCTTTCCCATTGTTGATGCGTAATATTGTCATAGTTTAGCTGCATGCACAATTATCACTACCAACGTTGAGTTGTCCAGTACCTAAAGATGGCCATTTGTCCATGATTCATGAGGTTTATTTACCTTACAACAACAACCCAGTATAGTTCATTAGTTCCAATTATGAAAAGGTCTGGGAGGTCAAGATGTATGCAACTTTACTCCTGGAAAATGCAGAGAGGCTATACGAGACGGTTTTTGTTAGACCCTTTATGCATTGCTGCATTTACTACCCAAATCTCTATCAAAGGTAAAAAGTAAAGGAAGTTTAGTGCACCATTTTAATTTAGTCAATTATTTAGCTGAAGCTAAAACATTGTCAATTACGACTCATTTAGCTCTGCTGGCAATGGACCTAAAATTATAGGGGAGTGCCCAAACTCTAATTTGCCTTACAAGTTACAATACAATTTTATATTTTAAGATATTGGGTGCCTTATGGATTCTTCATTCAATTTTGCAGGAGCTTGGATTTCAATGTGATAAGAGTAAAGGGGAATGCCGTGCTAAATTTGCTTGCCACATGGATTGTTTTGCATGGGCAAAGCACGATAGTTATCTGCCACCAGGCTGTCATGGTCTAAAGGTGCCATTGTGTTCGTTTTTTTTTTATTTCATTGGATCTCTATTTGTTCATGTTAAAATTCAACTGATCACTACACTAATATCCAAATAAGGTTGAAGTGTTATCTCGTTAAATACAATTTTTGGAACCATTTCCCCCAAGAATGTTCATGATTTTTAAATTTCAACTTTTGTAAGGCTTCTGATTTAGATGTTTCACGCATTTTATATGAAGGATAACCACTAGATGTTTGACAATTTGATATATCCTTTGTTTATTTCAAATGTACCTTTGCATGTTTTCAATGTTTTTTTGTTTTGACTAGAGAGGCTAGATATCATTTTGATTGGCTAAAACACCAGAATGTGGTATGGAACAAAGAATAGCAAATCAATAAGATAATTTTATTAAAGGGAACAATAGACAGAAAAGGCGATTTAGAAGAACCCTCCAAGAGCTTTGAAGGAACCCCCCTGCTATAGTTTTTCTTGCCCCATCCAAAGCTAAAACCTTCATGTCTTTCTTCCTGAGAGAAGGCCTTATTTATATACTGCCCCTATCCCAAAAAGAATTTCTCACTTTGACTTCACGAAAAATAAGTGAAGTGCTGAAAAGATATTTAAAAAATGTTGAATAGTGAGAAATGAGTGGTATGTATTTGTTTAGAACAGAGAAAAGTACTTTGGATCACATTCTTTTCTTTTAAGATAAAACGTTAGAAAATTATTTTGGGACAAATAAAAACGGAAAGTGGGAATCCCTTGTGGGACCGCGGGAGTATAAGGGTCCGTTTGGTATATGGAATTGATAGAATTGGAATTGAAATTCCATGGGATTCAATTCCATAGAATTGAATTCTTCCAATTTCAATTCATTTTTTGCACTATCAATTCTAAATCCACATAATTTTTGTGTTACCAAACACCAGAATTGGAATTGAAGCCCTCAATTCCAATTCCATAGTTTGAATTCCGTGTACCAAACGGGGCCTAAGAGAATTGTCATTTAGAGAGAGGCAAACGTCTTAATATGGGTGGTGACACCTTAAAACGTGCATCTGTAATTTTTTTCTCACAAATCTTCTCCCTAGCTTCGGCCTCCTCCCCCCGCGCCGAACCTCCAGCGCCGCCGCCCCTCCTCCTTCTCCTTCTCAGCCGGCAGCTCCTCCACTCCCCCACAATGACCGACAGTGAGGTCACGTCTCAATCCTCCACCCAAAAACCTCCACATCTGGCTTTCTCCGTCTCTAAGGTCAAACTTCATGTTCCAATTCAACTCAGTTTTTCTCAACCAAACTATAAGAAGTTGAGCCGTTTGTTCCTTCTCCTAGCACGACGGTTCAATCTTCAGGGTTATCTCAAAGGCTCTATTGCTCCCATCTCCGACGACGACGACGACGACGAATGGTTCCAACTTGATGCCATTCTCCAGGGATGGATTCTCTCCACCATCACGGATGAGGTTTCAGATCTCGTTCTCTCTTCTGTCTCTACTGCTTCTACTCTCTGGACGATGATTCATGATTTGTTCCACGACAATAAGCATGCTCGAGCCATGAAACTCGAGCATCAATTTCGCACCACCGTCAAAGGATCTACCCCCATGGCCGCATATTGTCAAGAGCTCAGGAATATTGCAGATTGGCTAGATGACGTAGATGCCCCCGTGTCTGAGCACCAACTAATACTCCAGATGTTGCGCGGCCTCCCCGACGATCTACAAGCCCAAACTTCGTTTCTCCAATTTCAGGACCCCATGCCGAGCTTTCTCCAGGTGCGGTCAGCCCTCCTCCTTCTCGACCGGCAGCGGACTCCTCTGGGCGAACCAACAGCACGGCCCTGCTGGCAGGTCGGGACGCCGGCAGCTACAGCAGCAGCCAGCACGGCGGGGGTGGCAGCCGCGGTCCTCCTCACGGCGGCAGTGGGGATCGGTTTTTTGGCAGCAACTTCGGCGATGGCTCCTCCTCTGGACAGCGTGGTGGCTTTGGACGCGGACAAGGGCGTGGCAACGGCAACCGGGGTCGAGGTCGAGGGCGTTCAAACGGCGGTTCGAGACAACGGCCATCAACGGACGTCCAAAGTACCTGGAACTCAACCTACCCAAACCCTAGCCCCGGGGTGTTGGGCCCCCGACCCACACCCGCCCCCTACC